TGAGTCATAGACCGCTATGAATTAATTTTAATATCTTACTTAAATCATGAAGCTATTTAGCAAGATTTATCCATTTTAGTATATAGTAAATAAGTAGTTCCCTAAGATTTAATGTGCTAGGCAAAGATTTTAAACACATAATCACAATTTCAGAGAATCTGGTGTTACACATTTGTACATATTGTGACAAAAATTTTTAACAATTTGAAAATATTTTTATGTCATATTCAAACAAATTTATTATTAACTAGAATATGCTTTTATTTCTGATTTTGAAGAACTTTATTGAAATTTCTCTTGTTTGGATTTAAATTATATCTGAATAGTTTATCTGTATTTGTTAATTTATCTGATCAGATCTAAACTAAAATTGAAAAATAAAATCTAGTTATTTTCACTTTGTGCACTCCTCAAGATACCTTTTTTTATGCACTAGATATTTTATCAATTACTAACTTCATTATTTATACTTTAACATCTAGAAAATATATAATACAGTAAATTTCTTTTGTAAATTGTAAATGATGAACTTCTTATTTTAACCATTTTTTTTTCCAGGCAAATTCAGCAGTATTTGATTAAATTAACATGCTCTCCAAGGAAAATGACAATAAAAATTTGAGCCCATCTTTGTATTGTAGAAAACAGAGATGAAATATCATGTAGTTAATTGACTAACCTGTCTGTTAGACAGTTATCATTCCTGAATTTTAATATTCATAAATTGCATACCATTAATTTTTCTATTTTTTATTTATAGCTATCTTAGTGTCCATTTAAATCATAGGATGTAAACATGTAAGACATATATTAAAATCTTCTAAATTTAATTCATATTCAGCAAATTACTTATTAATATGATTGCAGATTATGTGGCTTTATAAACAGAATTAGTAAATTAATGTTGAACCAGGAGTAACTTACTTTTATTATGTGTGTGCACATGTTTGTAATTCTTCTGCATATGAATCAATGTATTTTTATTCTTTGGAGACACAAAAATGGATGTGTCTTGGGGACAAAATGACCTGCATTTTCTATCCTGTACTATATTTGATTGAGTATTCTTTGTAGTAACAACATAGTGGTTTTTAGAAGGTACAGAATTCTAGATACCTTAAAACTAAGGCAAATTATTATTACTCATGTTTTCAATTTCGTATTTCCTTATGAAAATGTAGCTTCATTCTCATAATCAATGTTTAAATAAAAGGCAAAAGGGAATGCATCAAACCAGGACCTTTAAAATAATTGCTGAATGTTTCCAAATGTTGCCACTCATTTGTAGGATAAAAACAAGAGAGTTGGGTATTTGGACTTAGGAAGACAGCTCAGAATTTTATTAATTTCTGCCTTGACAAGAGTTACAATCAGGGCTTCCCTGGTGGCGCAGTGGTTGAGAGTCCGCCTGCCGATGCATGGGACACGGGTTCGTGTCCCGGTCCGGGAAGATCCCACATGCCGCGGAGCGGCTGGGCCCGTGAGCCATGGCCGCTGAGCCCGCGCGTCTGGAGCCTGTGCTCCGCAACGGGAGAGGCCACAACAGTGAGAGGCCGCGTATGGCAAAAAAAAAAAAAAAAAGAAGAGTTACACTCATACAGATAAAATAAATGATCTTGAGATGGGAGTGTTAGAGAAATTTCTCTTTGCATTATACTTAGGTTTAAGAAAATTTTTTCTATAATATAACATATTTATACATATGTGTGTAATTTTCAAGATGAGGAAACTCTATCTCAAAGTTCTTTCATCCATTAAGTGGGGATAATAATAGACAACTCATAAATTTGTTGAGATCATTCACCACTGATCACAATGAGAGTTACTTAGTGAGCCCTCGTCGTCTTACACCCTTTCTTGGAAAGTCTCAAATCTGTTGAAACTGGAGAGAGTTCATAAGGTGGTGTGGAATACATGAATCTCAGGTCAGGCTCACACAGCTTTCAAAGTTGCAGGATATGTAGGCAAAGATTCATTTTGTTAGCAAGGAAGTTTATTGAAGAAAGAATTTGTAGGTTATAATGTTGAAAATGTATCCTTCAGAAAATAAAAATTGTCTGTATGTATTAAACACAGAGAAGAATTTTTTTTTGAGCAGAAGTAATGAAATATTTTAGTTCTATATTGACTAGTTGACCTGTCAAAAAAGTGAACTTTTCTAGATCCCCTAAAATATGTTTTATTTTTATAATGCTATGAACAAATTCATTTAGTAAACTTTTGTTGACCTTCTAAATTGTGCTAGGGTACCAACAATAAAGTAGGCAGAGTCCTATTCAAAGATTAATTGCCAAGTGGGGAGACTGACAACAATAAAATCAGAACAATAGAAAGTTTAGGTAAGAGAAATATCACACAATTTCCTTGGCCTTTCTGAGAATCACAACTAATTCTAACTAATCTTACATTGCTGAGTTGTAGTTGATTCTGATTAATCTCCTGGTATTGAATGTTAAGATTATTTCAACTTTTGTTATTTCACAATAGAGTTGAAATAATTGGATGGACATGAATGTGTGATAAAAAGAAAGAACAGAATGATGAAACCCTCAAAATTTTTGCAAAAATGAAAGTGTTTAGAATGTTTCAGAACATGTAGGATGAAATAATGTTACTAGTGATTAAAAATATGTAACAGTGACTGGGAGACATTTCTTATTTGACAGGTCATTTTCTTGACCCAATTGTCGTATCGGCCAAGGCTCTTTCCATCAAATTGCTTTTAGCCAGTTTGTTTTTAGGTACATATGAAGTCAAGGGGAGAAGATGAGAATGATGAGCAGATAAGCAGGAGCCAGACTATGAGTCAATAATGGTTAGTGGTGTTATCTCATCTATCTGGACCCTGTAGAAGACTCTAGGACAGTTCTCTTAAAGTGGATTAACAATTATTAAAACTACCCATTTTTTAAATGTTTTTTGAATATTAGCCTGGTGGGCAAAACCCTATATATCATGCATCTTCATATGGGAAATAGGATATTGTTGGTATATATAAGAATGCTCATGAAAATATATAGACTATCTCCAAAACAAATCAGAGTTAATTATTACCCATCTTTGTTGATATGAAGTAAGGAAAAAAATCCAAACAATATGGGGCTTTTCAGATATAATGAAATTTTATTCTAACCCATTTTCTGATAGCAAATAATGTAATATTTTATAATCAGTGATAGGTTTGGTAATCTTGGGTTCTTTCCATGGAGTTTTAAAGGACTAATATCATTGTATATTCTTATATTTGTTAGCCCCGGAAGATATTTCCCTTTGCACTAATGAAATACATATATTTTGAGATCCTAATGAGCAAATGATTTTGCTAACAAAGAATGTATTATTTTCTATTTTGGAAATGCGTGAAAATTAAAATTACTTTTTTTAAATTTAGAAAATGTCTTTCATTTACCTCCAGTCTGCCTAAACTATTTAGGAAAGCTTACAAAGAAAATAAGAAGTTATTATAGAAATTAGTAAACAAGAAGCATATGTGCACATATACATAATATTTATTCATTTTTAATGTTGTTGAAGTCAGTTCTACTTTATGATCATGGTAATCGCACTCCAGACAATACCCGTTTTCTCTAGTGATTAATGTAGCACAATTGGGTTTTCAGAAGGTTGTTTTCTTAATGTGACTGGCCAGGAAACAGGTGTAAACATAAATACCAAAGATAAGAGAGTGATCTCATGCTGTTTTCTGATGTCTCCAGCATAGAGAATTCAGCAGGTTAAAGTCTGAGGATTGAGTAGGGCTGTTTATCAGAAGTAAGGAACTAGAAAAAATTTGGTGTGACTCAGAGACTTTAACTGAGAGAATGACAGGAAGCTTTTTAATAGCAAAATAATCTGTCAAACACTCTGAATATATAGGAGCTGTGTAGCAAACATGTGAAATCAAACCCCAGCACAGTAATTACAGGTAATTTGTGAACTGTTTCTAATTTCCTCACTGTGTAAATTTTATGCCTATCCACTTGAGACAAGATTTGACTCTCTGAGGATCTTACTGAAGTTCTCATTGCTTGACACTGGCTATATTGTTTCAGTGTTCTCTATGCTGCTTTTCAAAGTTTTAGCTGCTTTTGAGTAAAAGGAAGATGTTGGTGTTAAACTCTAAGCTAATTTTTCTCTTTTTTATGTTCTCTGTATTTGAATCTACTGTCAACTTTTGCCAACTTTGACTGATTATGGACTAGAGGTTGAATGTTATGGTTCAGATATATGTTCAATAACTTCTCCTAGGTATGCCAAATAAAATAAGTCATAAACAGTTCAGAATATTGAGTTCCATGCTAGTTGACCCAATACTTGTTAAAGACTCCTAGGTACTGCAAAATTGTTAGAAGGCGTTACCAGCTAATCAGGGTAAGAATTATAAGATTCTAAACTGTACATTAACACCGTTTGTGAGAAAAGGAAAAGCAAAATAATGGTAATAATAATAGTAACAGTTGGCTTCTTTTTTGTTTGTATCTAAAGATTGCTTTCATCCTATTTCCTATCATTGTTTGCCTAAAAAAAAATCAGAGTATTTAACATGCATATATTCATCCATCGTTAACATTTCTTTAATCTTATATGGTGGTGTTATTTGTGTTTATTTTCTGTTGTGTTGTTTCTTTGTTTACTTCTTTGACAAAGCATGTCAGTTTCTGTTTTACCTCTGTATTTTGCTACTGCATGTCAAACTTCTTAAACGACTCAGCAAACGAATGAATTCTTGTCATTTTAAGTTTTACTCTAAATATTGCAGGCAATCTGCTTATAGTCAAACATTGCTCCAAGTTTTTGCTTTGTGTAGGAGCATTAAAAATCAATGAAAAACAAAATGACAAGAACTGCGTGGTACCGCCAGCTTTGTACCTGATAATCTGTTTAAGCCTGTTAAAAGTTCAACCCAAATAAGATATATGTATTTGTAATTTGAATCATTTGTGTTTCTCTTTTGTTTGCATGATATGATTTTGTTTTATATTTTTTTTTCCACTCACCAGATGTTCCCAACACTTTGCTTCCCACTACTATCATCCCCTCCCTTACCACTGCAACAGTCACAACCACTGTAGCCATAACAGCCAGCCAAACCACATCTGCAACATCCAGCAACATACGAGGTACAGTATGCTTCTTTGTTATGGCCTGGGAAACACATTAAATAGAGCTTTTAAAGGTTTTATAAAGGGTAGAGGAATAGAGATCCAATTTTACTTACTTCTAAGAAGTAATTAAGTCACCTCAGTTACTATCAGTTAAGGTTGTTGGAATAAAATATGAGACAAGATGGTACATTTTAATTTTTCTTAGTGTCAATTATGACTCTTATGAAAATGTTTCAGAATATAGGTTGAGAATATATGGAGCTCTGCAACATTGAGAGTTTAAAATGTGAACATGGGACACTTTTTTTTTTCTTACCCTATAAATGCAAAGAAATAAGATGTTCAAAAATGCAGAGGTAGTGTTTGCTTTTTTAAGACCTTAGTTTAATGTTACTGATTTGTTATTCCTCTGCAACTAGATTAAAATGCCTGCATTGAATTTGTTGTAAAATTGGCATAATCCAGGGGTCATTATAAACTATTTGCCACATAGAACTTTTAGGTAAATATTCAATATGTCAGCCTGAAGTGATTTGCTGAGTGGAGCTACTTATTCTACTAACAGAATGTTCTGAACGCAAATGTTCTAGACTTGTCCAGGATGACAGGAATTGATGGTTGGCTCCATGAGTAATTTCTGGCATCCGTTTACTAATAAGTATGTTTGTCTCAAACAGAGCAACCTAAAAGATATTGAAGTAATCCTTAAGGGCAAAAATAATTATTATGTCATGGTTCAGAAATATAAAAAAGCATTTCTGAGTAGTCTTTAAGTAGTTAGTAGATGATGAAAAAATAAAAAGTTGTTTGAGCACATTAGAGAAATACACATTTTAAACTTTATTTCTGCATAAGCAATGTTCAGAGACAATTTGTCCTATTTAAGTCTGTCATTTATTCTTATACATGTTTTATGTCACGTTGGCTGTCCTAATATGTGTTAAATGTAACAATGTAATTTGAAATCATGAGGACTTTACAATAATATATATCTAAAGTTTTGTCAAGGATAGACTTAACATTATTTTCCTTCACTTGTAAAGACTGTTCAGTTAGACTGTTTGTGTTTCGTAGAATTTCTAGTAATTCTCAATATTATATTGAGTTGCTGCTAGCTTTTACTTTATAGTTACTATATTACTTTTTCTCTTGTTCCAGAAAAATATTTTAGTATCTTATAATTGTTAATTTTTAATAATTTGGTCAATTCTGTTATACAGTGTACAAGATTGATAGCTAAAGCTTGATGATAGTAACATTAAGAATTTCTCAAAATACCTAATATTACTAAAAAAACTGTATTTGAGCTAAATCTATAAGTAGAAGAGATTAAAGATCATTCTTATAACAACTTATATAAAAATGAGTAGAAAAATAATAAAAATGAAGAAAAAGTTAAAAAATACTTTATGATGTTATATGAAATATAAATATCTAAAGTTCTACTTTGCTTTTATTGTTTTTCTAAAGATTTTTTTACAAACAGTAATTCAAATGAAATGCAATTTACTGCTTACCAACAAAATCTCTATGATATTAAGTTCTGACTGTACAAACAAATCACTTTGTTGGAAAAGGAGAGAGATATATATTGACTTAACTTTTTTTAAAAGACCTAATTATAACAAAAAAAGCCTAGTTCATTTCTTCTTCAATAAATATTTATCAAGTACCTGCTGTTTATATAAATGGCACTATGCCAGGTCCTAAAATTATGGGGATTAAACATATTGTATCTGAAATCACTAACAATTAAATTGATGCATTTCCCCCAAATAATCAGTGTCTATACTTAATTAATGAAAAGTATTCATATTCTTTGTGAGTGTATATATATATATATATATATATATATATATATATTAGGCTAAAATAATAGAAAATATTTTATTTCAAAGTGAAGTGTTGAACAAATCTTTTATATTTGTTTACATGCATCTTAAGTGACTCTTATCTGTTCCATTTTAACCAGCCTGCTAAAAAGAAATCAATTTTCTACTTTTTCAAGGAAATTCATTTTTTAAAGATTTCCTAAGATGTTTTGTGAACTTTACACCATGGAATTCAAAAGTGCTGAAAAAATTTATTTTTCCTTCAAAGGAGCACACAAATAAATAAACCTCAAAGAAGACACACACACACACACACACACACATACCCCCATTCCCTCTTTTTATACTTAATAGTTGCAAGATATTATTTTTCAAATGGCACCAAGATATGTGAAAAGAAAACGTATTTTATGAGTTAGGCAATTCATAGCATCTGCTTTATACAGAAAAAATAGTAGCACCAACATTGAATGTTAGTGTAATGTCTATTTTTCCCTCCTATCTTCAACGAACAACTGGGAATTGAAGGAGGTCATCAAGCTCACCTGCATGACTAATGTTCTAGTCCATATTTGATGGAGGTGGGGATTCAGTCAATAAATAAATATTTTATGATTTTTGTACTATATTCCTTTTAATTTATATGATATTCACTTAGCTGTGCATTACCTGTTAAATTAGAGGTTTCAGGTGCAGTTATATTTTAAGTGGAATTCATTTATCTATAAATTAGTGAAAGATGTTTCCAAATTATAGTTTAAAAGATATAATAAGAATATGTTGCCTAAGGAAAGCTAGGAACTAAATATTTTCAGCTTGCCAATTTTTTTTGTTTACTTTCTTCATCTCTTTCTCTCATTCAGTAATCTAAATTACTAAGCTAACTATATTTAATTTTATTAGGTTTAAATGGCATTTCTTCAAATTTCATAAACTATAACATTTATCTCACTATATACATACTTATTTAATAAATGACCACAAATGAATCACTGTTCATATCTCCATTTACACTCTTTCACCACCCCTGCCATTGCTGAGATTTCTATCCTAAGATATGGTAAACATCCAATTAAAAATAAAGAAACATAGCTGTTGCTATATTAAAAATCAAGATAAAATAGACCAAAAGAAGCTACTCCAATTGTTAGTCATAACCTTGAGAATTTGCACATCTCTTCAATTTGTACATGAAATGCATCCTTGTGTGCAGGAAGAGGAGCTTCAACCATATGGAAGAAAAGCGGGCAATTAGCAGTACCTTGTTACAAAAAAGGGTGCTATAACACAGAGAAGGGAGCAAACTTGAACAGTCATGGGAAAGACAGAGAATAAGTGAGCCTGAGAAATATCTTTAGGTGTGAGTTTCAGTTCTTCTATTTACAAAGTCTTTGGTCTTAGACGATGAACCAAATTTAGCATCAGCAATTTTGTCAGAAAAATGAGAAACACTTAATTCTCAGATTGCCTTGAGGATTGGATAATGTCTAGAGTTCTGGCAACATAATCAGCACTCAATGTATGACAATGATTGCTTAGTTCTTTTAAGTAAAACAAATGTGTTCACATGTAGCTGCATCTGAAATGGTATATTTTTCCTATAGTAATTCTAGTTTTAATGCAAAATTCTTTGGTGTTAGTGCACTGATTACATTTTAATTTCAAACCTATTTTTAATTGATTATGTGAAAAAAATTAAATATTAAAATGGCACTAGAGCATATGGAACTTACTTATCTATCCTTGACTATAACAACAATTTATAAATTTTCTATGAATTTTATAGGATTCTTATTTATTTATCATATACCTAAAACCTGAACATTTTATAGATCTCTTAAATATTTGCATTACAAAGCATCACTGCTACAACACATTTTAATTTTCTGCTTATAGAAATTGCAACTTTTTAAGACTAGTGACCTGATTAATCCTATCAACTAATTCAAAAGATATATATCTGTATATCTATATCTATATATCTATATCTATATATACTCTTTTATAAATTTGGGGTTTTTTTAGGTCACTGTAATAAATTTTTAATGAGATAAACTTTAATAAGTTAAATATGATAATTTATAAAATGCTTCCAAATGACCTGATATGATTTCTAGTATTAATATTATTTTTGCATGGTATCGTTAATTTGAAAGCATTTTTTAAAATTTTTTATCATACTGTATAATTTTAATTTTATTATAAACTAGCTCATAATCTAAGAATCTTTAACAGCAAGCACCCTCATTTACAGATCATGATATAAAGGTATTGAAAAGTCAAGAAACATATATGAGACACAGTGAGATATATCAGTGATTATGTCTTTATCATGATTTTTAAAATTAGAATTCACAACTGAATCTTTTGTACTTACCAACACAGAAAAACTCCTAAATGCCTAATTATTACCTGTCTCTGCCTCTGTAAGACTGTAATTGCACTACAAGTATAGAAATGAAATGACATATGTGGAGAGAAGATGTGAAATATCTGATATACTCCCTGTCCTAATACTAAGGGTCTGTTCAAATACTTCATGCATTTCAGTATATCAGATAGGGAAAAATAAATCCTAAAAGTGATGATGAAAATGTTTGTACAATCCATGTAAAAATCCAAATGAATTATTGATTCAAGTATTGATTTAGTTTTACATCAGACTTTAAAATGGTGAAATAATTTTTTGTTAATAAAATCATACCATTTTTCTAGTAATATGAACCAATTTATTAACTATAATGAGGTAATTGCAAAGGTATCTTATTTCACAATGGCACTGCAAAACAAAAAGACATATTTTTTTAAATTTAAGAAATCAACCATTATCAAATTATCTACAACCAGAATAATAATGACCAATCTCAAAATTTAGAGATGGGTACTGTTGTGTTGGTCCCAGCCTATTGATAGTGATGCTTTTTGCTAGGAATGCTTGAGGCACTTGCCTCAGCTCCTATTGCTTTTAGGAGCCCTCACAGACATTTCCTCCACCAGGGCCAAATGTTGAGGTTGGACCAGCCCTTGTTCTTAATATGATCACAGGCTGTACTTCAGTAAGAAACCACTAGGGAACTTTGAGGAACAAAATTATTACTCAGAGATTCTGGAGGGCCACATAGTGAGGTCACTGGTGAAAAGAGAAAGAGAGCGCACAGACCTGGGCTCTGCCTTTATTAGGGT